TGTGGGCATGTTACTAATGCTTGTTCTTTTTTTCTAGGTTTTTTAGAACATCTTTGAGCTTCTTGGGAATTGTGAGAAGTATGTCTTGGGAATTCAGAGAGTATTACAGTATTTGTTTATTCGTTGTTTTTTTTTTTGTTTGTGGGCATATTACTAACATTTGTTCTTTTTTCTCTAGGTTCTTTAGGACGCTTGAACTTACTGGGAATTGTGAGGCTTATAGTTTGGGAATCTGGAGTGTATTACTTCATTTATTCATTTTTTGAGCTTGCTTTCTTTGGAATTTTGGGACATATCTCTTGGAGTTCAGTAGTTCAGTATGTATTAATTTGTTCTTGTTTTCTGATTTGTGAAAATGTTACTAACACTTGTTTCTTTCTTTTTCTAGGTTTTTTAGAATAATCGTCCAGGTATTAGTACTGTCAGAAAATTTGTTCGTCATTGGTGTTTTCATCCGTTGTTATTGTCTTATATATGCTATCTGGAATTGCCACTGTTGCCTTTGTATTGCCGTTAGTATTGTTTACATTTTGCTGGCTTTGTTGCTGTGATTTTCTAGTATAAAAAGTTAAAATTAGGGTTATTAGGTTTAGAGTTGTTAGGGTCAGAGTTGTTAATATTAGCGGATTAATCATTTTGAAGTTGGTTGTTGCGCAGTGATGTTTAAAATGATCACTACTACGTAGTACAGTCATAAATATTATACAACGATGTTCTCATATGAACATCATTTACTATTACAGTGCGTGTTAATAAAGTGAAATACGATATGTTTATATTGTCTTTTAACAAAGTTCTTTTGCTGGGACCTGATTAGTAAAAACAGTCGAAGGTTTGCAAATATATAGGGGGTTATGATTATATGCTTATGCACATTTGTTTTCTTATAATCATGTGATTTATCTAATTTATATAGTAGATGATTTTTAATAAGATCATCCAGGCTGGTCATTAGTAAACTTTAAATAAAAAATAAAAATAAATTAAAAAAAATCTTACAGAAATTACCTATTAACCTGTGATAAGAGATGGTCATTCTTTTCAATTTGCTATAATACGATTTAATAGTATTTGTTGAGATTACTTGCAGAAAAAGGGGTAAATGCTGTTGAGCTCAAAGGGCCCACT